CGCTGCCCCCGCTTTGCCATAAACGCACATTTCGTCTCTGTTTACATTGTGGTCTCTGTTTTGGCTGCGAGCAGCGTAAGGGGAGGAGCAGGAACTGGCTCCGGGGCAGCCACCTCCTCCCCTCTCTGTTTTCTTTGTTGCTATCTCTTCGGGGGAGGCGTCCTGGGTCACGTCTGCCCGTAGCAGAGCCGCGGTCTGCGGTTGATGTGACTCCTCGTCGGCCCGAAACCTCGGGCCGCCTTCTTCTTCTGTGCGTGTGCAGGTCTTGCCTTTCCTCCGTCGTCGCCCTCCTCCCCCCTGCCTCGGCAGTCAGCGGCTCGCAGTGAAGTTGGAGGAAGGGGAAGGGAGGGCGGAGGGGGAAGGAATCTTGGCATTTATTTGATACGCAGTCAGCAGCCTGGGCCTGCTTTGTACAGCTCTGTCGTCTTTGACAGCAAAAGGAAAAAAAGAAAAACCTCCTGTGGTGGAAGGAGGGGGGTGCGTGTGTTCATTTTTCTTGGTGGAAGACGAAGGAAAACATCTTCAGGGTCTGTGAGAGAAGGGATGGAAGCACTGAACTGCTGCAGTGTGTCGAGAATGCGTGTGTCCTTGAGGTACTTACTAGTGCCCATGTCGCTACTGTTTTCCTAGTGGGTGTTTTTTTTACTCTGTCAAGTAAAAGTCAAGCACAATTGAACTGCAGACTTTTGGAAGTAAGTGAGGTTTCTTCTGATAATGAACAGTGAGCACTGAGACACACAGAGAAAAGGCTCAGGTAAGGATAGTCAGCAATTCAGTGAATTAATGAAGACACCCGATCCCTCTTGACCATATGCCCTCTGTATTACAGAGAATGCTTTTAAGACGCAAGATGCAAAAATTCTAATGCTTAAAGTTGGTAAATGACGAGAGTGAATTGCGAGAATGCCTTTGTAACTGTAATTGTGTGATACGTTTTTTTTTCCTCACAGGACCCTTACCTTACTCTGGGCACTGGGGCAGACCATCTCTGGAACAAATCAGGCTTGGATAAATGGAGCTGTCTTCTGCAGAACTCCTGCCTGATTTCCTGGGACAATTTGAAAAATATTTTGGATATGTAGGTGGAATAGTATTTGAAAAATATTTTGGATATGTAGGTCTTTCAAATGTGTGAAAGATCTGTTGGTATTTTAACTGACTTTGGGTGAATAAATATAATAAGAATGTAAGAAGTACGTGAGTGAGGTCAGAGAGCCACAATGAGGGCTGTGTATATGGACACTTAGCCAGATGTTCTTGACAACAGTCAGTGTCCCGCAGAAATGCAAGGAAAAACAACTGAATGTTGTTGGGAGGTCTGCAGTGAGGAGAATGTCATGCAGTCACAGAAACGGGGAAAAAAGTGTGTAATACCGGACAGCCAAATGTTATCGCTGGGTCTGTCCAAGATTAGGTTCCTTCCCTGCATAATCCCTGATCCTCACTCCAGAATTGTTGTAAAAATCTTTCTGCCTCTTGTAATTGGCTTTATCTCTGGGTTTTCTTCATCCAATCTCAGACTTTGTTTCGTGACTTGCTTTAGATATTTGACCAGCCAGTTTCAATTTTGCAGTACTCTATTTATAAATTTGTGAAGTCTTGCCATTTTTATAGTCCTAATCTTGGCAGTTTGGTGATTTTTATTGCTCAGTCTTCTGTTTGCCTGTCAGTGACTGCCCCAAGCTGCAGCAGCTCCTTTTGAAGAGGCTTCTGTCTAACGGGAGACTAAGAATAGAACCTGACTGCCAGATACGTATTGTAGTTTTCCGTGCCTGTGCTGGACCATACCAGAGCAGTCACTTGGCTGTGTGTCTGTAAACTTGAAGTGTGGTTGCTTTGAGATAAGTGTGTGTTCTGAAGCTAAAGGTGGGCTTAGGCATGATACCAGTGCAGGTGGAAGTCTCTAAAGACCATGTTGCCTATGAGTTTTTTTAGGCAAACTTGAAAGAAGAAACAGTAACACAAAGATCAAATTTGAAGTTACTACTGCAAGACATGGTTAGTAATAGAGGTTGTTTTCCCCAAAGATGCTCCCGAAACTCTATACAGGCAAGGAAACTTTTCTATGCAGTGTTCCAGAAAGGTTTATGCCAGGAGTTCTAAGAGTTTCCCCAAAACAAGTACATTAAGAGCAATTCTGAAATAGGTAGTGTGGGAATGCTCATCCCAGTCATCAGTGTGTGGTGAGAAACACCTGCGAATACAGTCATTGTTTCTGGATGAGAAGTGTTTTTACACGTACCTTTCTTTTCATTTCCTGCTTTGTTCCCATTTTCAGCAGGCGGGTC